TTCCCCCCCCCCCCCCGCCACCCCCAATTATAATTAAATGTTTCAGCCCTTTCTTCTCTCCTCTCTGCAACACCTTGGGATGTGAGAAAAAGTGATGGCAGCTCTCTTCCCCCAGTCCTTGAAGTAATTGTAGAAGGGCTGATGAATTTCTTGGAGAAACACTTGCCACACACTGCGGAAACCATCTCCTGGCAGGATTTTACAAACCAAAGTAAACAAAGCACCCCAGGGGCGAAGCCCCCCCTTCGCGCTGCTTACTTCTCAATTTACTTCGGAGGAGATCACACACACACACACACACACACCCCGCATCTACTCCACGGATCCCAATTGCCATTTTGCAAATATTCCCCCAAAACACAGGCAGGTAAAGAGAAGGTGTTCAAAGGGGCATTTAAAAAAAGACGACCTGGAACAAGCTCCACTCTCCTCCCTGATCTCTTTGAACACACGAATCCCCTCCAAGAAAACCCGGGGTATCTCAGAAACGCCCTTTAAAAGAGCAGTTTCTCAAGGGGGAGACGTAATAAAGTTACTTCGCTAATTCGCCTGTGTATTCAGCCTATAGAGCTTAGCATGAGCATGGGTTTCTTTTATTTTGATTAAGCTTCCGGAGAAAAGTGAAGAAAGGTAACTAAATTAGCTGGGACCACGTTCACGCGCACACACAAAGAAAGCTTTTACTTTTAAAGCAAGCGATCGGGTCTGATATGCCCTTGTTAAAGGGGGAGGGGGGGAAAAGAGAGAATTAAAACTGTCAATACTGCTTCTAACCTGCGTTTTTCATTTGAGTCCCAGAGCCGCGAAGGGGGTTGAGATACGGAGCACGTCTATTTATTGCTCCTTTTGTTTCCTCTTTGCGACTCTGATCCAAACAGCCCTGTTCAGTTCCTTTTTCCTCGGCTGTGGGTTTTTTTTTTCAGACCTCACAGGTGTGTTTGGGCTCGTCTAGGTCTCTGCGCTCAGAGCTCCCCAGGTTTCCTGCAGGGTTTAGTTTCAGTGTGGCACAGGGGTTCAAAATCTGTTGGGAAAATGCGGGGCGGAGGTGAGAGTGACCGGGGGGAGCGGGAGGGACCTCCTTTTTGCAAGTTAGAAATAGCCCAGGACTGGTAAAGCGAGGTGGAAAATGGACTTAATGGAGCAACGTCTGTTTTTTTGCTGCAGCAAAGAGCCTGAATCCTTTGATTAAACTAACATAGATTTTCTAGAGATGGGAAAAGGAGGGAGAAACTGGGGTGGGCATTTTATGTAAATGAGCAAATCCGAAATGTATTACAAATCCACTGTAATAAACCTGACAGTTTTGACAGTATTGACAACATAAATATATGTTGGAACACAGCACTTTGAGACACTTAACCGATGAAGCAATAAAAAGATTCGACTACAATATTTCAAATAATCGACATTGATGTTTTGATACATCATTTTTATACCTCGAATCGATCTATCACTCTGTGACCGGTCAATTTTAAGTAAAACTCTGCTGCAATTATTTACGCTATTGCCAATGACGACCTAATAACTGTTTTCAATTAATTACAGCAAAACTAAGCATTCTGAGGACTAACTGGCCGTATATTGTAGTGCACGCTCTCCTGCGTTTCTTGCATGGAGAACAAACACATATATGTATATTGCATTCTCTTTGTTGGATCAAAAAGAAAGAGGTACAAAGGGGAGCGGAGTGGGGTGGAAAGAAAACTCTCTCTTTTGGCAATCCACCGCGGGCGCCCTTCGTGCCAACTTCAAAAAAAAAAAAGAAAGAAAAAGAAAAAGAAAAAGAAAAAGCCCCCCTCCCCTTATATTTCCAGGAAACCCGTTGTATTATTTTGTCAGCTCTTTCCCCAGCCATGAACACCCCCAGCTGTAGGTGCATCTATTCGAAAGTTGAGCTCTGTACCCACTTGAGACAATGGAGTGGGCAGGGGAAGTGGTGCTTCTACCCCTCGCGGGTGCTTATGCCAGTGTCTGAGTCGTTTCCAAAGGGTTTGGCTCCTTGTTTTTTGAGAACCCCAGTATTAAATGGGAGCTTCCCCCCTCCTCCCCCATTGTAAGCAAGAGGAGGAAGCTCTCGGGCTTTGCAATGTTGCTGCAAATCGATGCTGTTTCCCATTCTTTTCTCCCCCCGCCCCCCCTTTCACATCCTCGGTTTCCCCTTTGCTAGGCTGCCACGTCGGAAGGGGTGTATTTGGGGGCAGACGTGCGCCTGGCACCACCTGTCTCGCTAGGCAGAGCCGCGCTGCCGGCCGGAGGGGCACTGCCAGGGTCTCCCCGCCCGGCGGCGAAGGCGCGGGGCCAGGCTGCTCCCCTGTCACCTCGGCGCTTGTCCGTGTGCGGTTGCAGAGTCCCCGGTTCCGCTCGTGCTGGGCGTGCTTCTTCTTGTCCTGCCCCCGCTCGCCCTTCGCTGGGCAAAGAAGCTGACTGCAAAGGGGAGAGGGGTCCCAGGCCCGGCCCCCACCCCCACCCCGGGGCAGCGCGGGGCCTGGGGTCCCGGGAGGCTGGCGCCCGCGGTGGCGCACGGGTGTCCCTGAGCTGCTCAAAGCGGCTCCGGAGCAACCTTGGGGGGACTGAGGAAAAGCGCGTTTTTGAAAGTGTTGGAGTCCCGCCAGATAGCGCTAGAGGGCTGTTTATTGAATCGCTCCTTTTCTTCTGTGGGATCTTTACAGAATAAACAGGAGAGATAAAGAATGGAGGAGGGGGGTTGGGGCGGGGGGCAAGGGGGATCCACCCCAGCAGGGCTTTTTTAAACCTGCGGAGTTTGTTGCAAGAATAATAGGGACTTGCAAAGGGATCAAGGGCCGAGATGTTTCTGGGTTCCTTGTTGATTTAAAAAAGAAAGAGGGAAAGAAAAAAAAAAGGCAAGGGGAGTGAACAGGTAACTAAATGAACCTCCTCCTAACCCAACTTCCAAAGATCCCAGTCACACTGCCATGGGGGTCAAGAAAAGTTCACAGTGATGAGCAACCATTGACTTTCTGGAGTGGAAAGATTCTCCAAAACTAACAGATTGCTGAAAAGCAAAGCACATTATTGGCAAGGGGGGTGAGGGATGAATAGCCAAATGAACCCAGGGATCAGAAAGCCACTGAAAGAAACACCGTTGCAAAAGGGAAAGGGAAGGGGAAGGGTGGGGGGAGGGCAGTATTAGTGACTGCACCTAGAAAGCGGTGCCAGCATTCACAGTTTCACAGGTTCAGGGAGCAAATTTGGGAGGGAGGGAAATGCAAGTAGGAGAATAAGGCTGAGAGAAGTAAAAACAGATCAAGTCTTAACAATGAAACCCACTCCCGGTATAGGACACTGTTAAAAGATAGCGAACTGCATTTTGGGGGGCAGAAGTGGGGGGTAGGGGGTGAGAGGATGAAGGAGATCAAAACATGGAATAGTCCTTCTGATAAAGCCAAGAGTGGCATATTGACATGTCACTCTTGGTCTTCTGAAGAGCCTTAAAAAGAAATTTTCCCGTGGATTTTGCGACAAGGTCATGGTTCTCTCCTCACCCTAACGCCCGTCCGAGCAGAATCCTTCCTTTTCGTCATTAAATCCGACTTTTCATGCCGCCTATTCCAAGAGAAAATGTAAATGAAAAAAAATAATAGCCTAAAGAACCCAAGCTATTTTGCAGCATCCCTGACCGTCCATCGTAGGGGTTTTTTTGTTTTGTTTTTTGCAAATGTGGACGGCGTGATACCTTTCCGGATACAATAGCATCATCCAAAAATACTTGCACTCAACCCATAAACAAACAAACATTGATTAAAGTTACAAACAAGATTAAGGTTCAAGTTATTTGTCCCTCCAGCAAAGCGTCAATTGTTCTAACAGATGTAGGAGAGCTAAGAGGATTTAAACCACGCGAATTTAATAAGCCAGATCAACAATATGTACTTTTCTACATTGCTAGGGACCCCAAAGTCAATTTAGCCAAAAAAATCTATTAGACCAGATCACCTCCTATAGGAAAAGGAAAGGATTTCCAAACGGGCAATGGGGTTTTGGGGTAAGCATCCCCAAAACTCCCCCCCCCCAAAAAAAAACCCTTTCCTTTTGCTATAAAATTATTGTACTGAGCATAACAACAGTGGGTCAACACGAACAATGGAATATATTTTTGAAATCTAAAAAGTTACCTGTTGTTCAAATCCGCTTTTGTAGGACTCTGAGGGAGGGGGGAAGGCAGATCTCAAGCCAGCAAAAGGCTAAAATGCCACACTTCAGAAAGGCTGATTGAAAACAGACTCTTAACTTTTAGAGGATTTTCTCTCGCACTCCCTCCAAGTGCTAAGCAGCCGATTTGGGAGTTTGAAGGGAATAGGTTTCAGCGTCCATATTTGTTCTGGTGCACTTGTAAAATGCGATTTGAAGAGGATCTTTAGCCCTCTGATTGTCTTTGTATTGTTTTTCTTGAAACGGATCTTTTGCCCTTAATGAATCCCCACACAGCTGGACAGCTCCTTCTCGGACACTGAGAGCTCTAACCCCAAACTGACCCCAATTTGACACCACAAGATGAAATTTTACCGCCTGTTAAAACCATTTCCAGCCTCGGCAAAAGGAACTGGCTGTTGACGGAGACGCACTTCCATACCGGACACCTAATTTCTCTTTGGACTTCGGGCTGATCTGCAAAAAAGCACATGAATCGCCTCTCTCCCACTTTTCCTGGGAACAGTCTTTGTTGTGATGCGTGTACGAGAAACTGGAAATCAGCCGATTTAATCTCCCTGAATTACTGGGGGTAGGGAGTGTTTTTTGGTGTTGTTTTTTTAAAAAAAGAAAGAAAGGAAGAAAGAAAGAAAATCCCACCAAGCTCGAGGGGGGAAATAGAGCTAAAGCTGTAAATTCCCACTCTTTGCTTCTGTTTCTTACAGGCTCAGCTTCCAGTGCATCCTAGTTACCGCTGTGTGCGCCCAGGGTTTCAGAGCGTGGCAATGAAATGGCTAAAATGTAGCTCCTGAAGCTACGTTCCCTGAGTTTCTGGGCTTTAGTCCACTGGGATAGTGAGAGGTGAAAAAGGTTCCCTTTCTTTTCAGACCTGTGCACGAAAAAAAAAAAAAGATTCGACCGGAGCAGGAACATCTTTGCACTAAACATAAGAAATATCACTTTCCCTCGATTTAAAAAGCCTGGTGAAAAGTTGGTCCCGGTTCCAGACTGGACCACTCAGTCCGGCTAGCCAACTCGAGGGGCTTTACTTTAAAGTGAAAAATGTGAAAGGAACAGCGTTTGCTGCTGCAAAAGCTTTTGCTGTTTTCATGCAGCTTCATTTATGTTGCACTCTAACAACTCTTTAGTGCAGAGAACTGAGATCTATGCTAAATACTATAAAAATCAACAATGTGGGGAAAAAAGAAAGATGAGGCAGTGTCATAAGTAACGCAGCGCCTTCTTATATGTAAATCAAGTGGGGTGAGAAACTTCCCTTTTACATAGAAACGGGTAAACTTTCATCACCATACTCCCAGCCTGGGATCTGAACAAATACGTGAAATCTTCAGTGGAACCAGATTACTTTTCTACGGCTATATTACAGCGAAAGGCTCTGCTCGCATTGGTACTGAAGCTATAAGAAAAAAGATAGACATACAGCACAGGAGACATGACCCTATATTTATATTGCCTCTGTTAGACAATAAGTTTAGATGCTACAAACATTCAAAATGTGGTCTAGAAAACTGGCTGTATTAGGTGGATCACAGTTAAAAGATTCTAGGGAAGTTAAGGAATTTGGCATCTTTTTTGGGGGGGGGGAGGGGAGGGAGAAAGGAGTATTTACCGACGGCTAGATACCTTTTTAAACAAATCTGTTAGAAAAGTACAACTGTAAAAGTAGGGAAGGATTTGCATAACCCACTGCTCTGTAGGTCTCCGCGCACCCAAAGGATTAGTCAAGTATTCATTACCATGAATATCTTGAATTGCGTTACCGATTTATACGACAGAGTATAAAATACTGCACAACAAGATTGTCTTTTTCCTTGCGAAATGAATCAACTTAATCACTACTTGAAAGAGATCTACATACTAAGGGCGTTTTACTCACCTTTTCTTTACAGTCCCGTGAAAGTCAGCCACAGAATATCGGTTGCTCTTAGGGCTAGCTTTAATCTTGGAGGAGATCCTCTAGGAAAAAAACGGGTCTGCTCTTCGGCTTCTGACGATTTTTAAGCAAGGTGCAACTCTGGCTAAAAGTATCTGAGTGACTTTTCTCCATATTGCCCTCATATTTGTAAATAGTCTGCTCTGCAGGGCTCAACACTATCAGAACACGTAGGAATGCCCACTGGCGTTGTCAGCCCTCCACACTATCTTTCTTTATATGTGAGGGCTGATTTCCCGCAGACATCATTGTTATGATGGCTCATTTAATCAAACTGTTTAATTGCTCCGGTAATCACTATCATCATCACAGGTACTCAATCATTCATCATTTTGGAGGGGTTTATTGACCTCTGGAGCTCATTCCGTATGCCCATTAAAATCTGGCCAAATTTCTATAACTACCCTTTGATTCATTTTTTTTCCAATTTCCAAAAATCTTAAAATAATAATAAAAAGCCCTAGCTGGATCAAATACTTTTTTTTTTTTTTTTTTTTGAGCGGTGTATGTTTAAAAGGCATCTATGCATGAGGCCACATTCACAACTGGGTACATAATCATTGATAAATCCCACTATTAACGGGATAGTCTGTTTTAGATTTTATGTGCAGGGGACCGTGAACGAGAAAGGGAGGGGGGGTAGGACAAAACTGCAGCAATCGATAGTTTGACCATCGCTCCTCCCCCAAACTTCAAGCATCCCCCATGATTGATGATCACGGGTAGCTTTGGTAATTGACTGCTCTGAGGTAAGGCATGTTTTAGTTCCAGCAAAGTGATTGGGCAAGAGAAACATACCAAAATTAACGTGTGCGTGCGTGCGTGTGTGTGTATGTGTGTGTGTGTGTGTGTGCGTGCGTGCGTGCGCGCGTGTTTGGAAAAGTTCATTTGGTGCTCAAGGGGGGTGCACAGTCTCACTTAATTTGCTAAATAACCCTACTATAATTAGCACTACCATTAGAAGGCATTACCGAGTTAATACTTGAGCATACACCCCACAAACACAACGCAGATACATAACAAGCTCTAGAAACAGACCCACATACGGACAGTGCACACGCGAGACCGAGTGATCGCCTCCAAATGAACATGCAAACCAAACCAAACCAAACTGCCCAACAGCTGGACTTCGCATACAAAAGAGTGAGCAGGACTTTGTTTCAAAAGGCTGCCAGTCTCATCACACCACTGAAGGGGAATTCCCTCTCTCTTTCTCCCCCCTCCCTCTTCCCCTCCCTCCCCCCATCACAACGTGGTTGATAGAAGCGATCACTTAATGAAGAACGATGCCAAATATGGTTTCAACGAGGTGTTCTCTTCATGCCCTGGAAAATTTTTTTTTTTTTAAAAAGCACAATGAATTCACATAGGAAAGCATCCGCACTTGGAAAGGCAAGGCTCTGGCAGCGGCGCGGTACTTTGTTAAGGCAAGCTTGTTTCCTAAGGCAGAGCAACTTTAGATCCCCCTGCACATGTTCATGTTCCGTGCCTCTGCCCTCAGCCTTGCACCCCGGCCGCGGCTGCGATCCTAGCTGCACAGTTCAAAACAACACGTTAAGCACAGGCTACGCAACGCAGTGAAAGACAAGCAGGCTTTGGCTGGTAAAAGAAGCTAGCGAAAACCAAACCGGGTCTGGGCTCCTATCGTACTTTTTTCTTCACGCTCTCTGCAGTTTCCCCTCTTCCCCTCCTCTCTCACACATTCTCTCTCTCTCTCTCTTCCTCCTGTGGCTCCCTCTTTCTCACACACTCTCCCTTTCCTATATGGAAAGCGGCGTTGATTTGCTATGGGTATGATCTGTTGTGTGGCTCCCCCCATGCGGAGTTGCAGCAGTCCTGATTGCATACTCTGCATATCATAGGCTTTATGCTCGCTCGCGCGCTCTCCTCTCCTCTCCTCTCCCTCTCCCTCTCCCCTCTCCCTCTATGTGTCTCTGTTGTAGGACTGGCTATGGCCACCACTACTTCCGGGTTCCGTCATTTCATTCTCCCGCCGATCAGCGCTGCAAAACTGAGCCTCTTCTATAAGCCAGCCAGCAGCCAACCTGCCAACACTTACTGACACTCACTCATCTCAGAGAGAGAGAGGGAGAGAGAGAGAGAGAGAGAGAGAGAGGGAGACAAAATACCTACCAGGAAAAAAAAAAGGGAGAGGGGGAAGTCCGGGTTTTGCAAACTATTCAATTTTTCTTCGCATCTCCCCACCCCCCCTTCCCAGTACTTAAAAAAACCCTATAGCGATCCTAAAAGGCAAAACCCAAGCGCGGAGTTACTGGAAGAAGAAACCCGGGTTAAAAAGATTCCTCCTCTCTTCTTCATCATCATCAACCATCATTCATTCACTACCTTGACATTCCCTGGCTTTGATTGACAGCTGGAGTGGCAAAAAGCCATGAGACACGACAGTTTGGTTACATGTGGGTTGCTGACGGGCCGATCGTAACCTTCAGTTTGGGGGCTTGACAATTTTTTTTTTTTTTTTTTTGCGTAGAGAAAGAAAAAAGGAAAAAGAAAGAGAGAGAAAGAGGAAAAAAGGAAAGAGAAAGAGAGAGAAAAAAAGAAGAAAAACACAGAAACTCATCGTGGCTCTTGACTGATTTTTTTTATTATTATTATTATTATTATTTGCCTATACTGGAGAATAGGAGAAGTCTCTAAGTGGGTTTCAAAAAAAAAAAAAAAAGAAGGAATCTTCTTCACTCTAAATCACTTTCTTTGCTGGACTGGGATATTAAATATACGACACATCCAGGAGTTTATTGGAGCGCAGACTGATGGCGCAAAGGGTAGGTTTAAATCTCCAACACTTACCTATATATAAATCCTCTCTTAAGAGGGGCCTGTCCGATTTGCTCTCCTCTGTTGCTGATGATGATGGCGGCCAGTATTAAAAAATAGCAGCAAAAATTATTCACTAGCTTTTTGTGTGTGTGTGTGTCTGTGTGTGTGCGTCTCTCTGCGATTGTTCCACGCTTTTTTCCTCTCCAGCTTTTCCCCCAGCAGCGCGATTTCCCTGCTCCTCTCGCTGCTCAGTAGCACGGGTTTCACAGGGGAAGGCTTGCTGCTGCTGCTGCCGCTGCCGCTGCCGCTGCTGCCTAGGGAAGCTCTCTATGTGTGTATATACATATATACGTATGTATGTATGTATATATGTGCATATCTAGAGCTCTTTGATTTGTCTCTGACTTTGACAAGGACAAGGGGAATTGCTGCTAAATAATGTTTCTGGTAACTTTCAGATTATTTACCCCTTCCCCTCCGCGATTCGCCCCACCTTCTTCTCCTCTATCCTTCCCTGTGCTTAGTTATTTCTTTATTTGCTTCCCAGCCTGTTTGTTTACTCCTTTATTTCGGTTCTTTCCATTCTGATCCAAAGCCACTCTAGTTTCTCCTTCATTTCCTTCCTTTTTCATCCCAGTTTCCTTGTTAGGGTTTCTTCTTCCTTGATCAGCCCCCCCCCCTCTTGTTTTTACCCCTTACCCCAGCGCACACGCTGCCCCCAGCCCCTTGCCACACTCTGCTCTGTATTTATTTCATTTTGTGTCATTCTCCCTCTGTTGTGGCTGTTCCTAGTTTGTTTTGCTCTGTTGTGTCTGTCTGGGGGCTTTACTCTCTTCTGACTTTTGTTGTTGTTGTTGTTTGTTGTTTTTTTTTATCCTTCTCTCCTTCTCTCTCTTTCCTCCTCTTTCTCTCCTTCTTTCTTCTCTCCTGGCCCCTTTTTTGACAGTACGATGAGCTGCCCCATTACGGCGGGATGGACGGAGTAGGGGTGCCGGCTTCCATGTACGGAGACCCTCACGCCCCCCGGCCGATCCCCCCAGTTCACCACCTGAACCACGGGCCGCCGCTACACGCCAGCCAGCACTATGGAGCCCACGCCCCGCACCCCAATGTCATGCCGGCCAGCATGGGATCCGCTGTCAACGACGCTTTGAAGCGGGACAAGGATGCGATTTACGGGTAGGTACAGCCAGGGCAGCCCGGGCGCCATAGCCCTGCGTGCAGCGTGGGGAAGGAGGCAGGGGAGAAGCAGGACTCCAGAGCCAGAGAGCTGCTCCCACCCGGGTGGGGATGGGGGCTGCCGGGGGGCAGGGGGCACTGGGGACGCCTAGTCTAAACTCTCCCGTAGAAAAGAAAAGGAAAAAAAAAAGCAACCCTTCATTAGACACAACTAAGAAAGCTTTCAGGAGATTTACATGCACAGAGTCCTGGATCACTGATCTGGAGGAAGGCGTGTAACGTACCCCTTGCTGTTATTGCTATTTTTAATCCAAGCCACATTGTAGGCCGATTCTGTAGGGGAGACGTCAGCATCCCTAAAACATGAGCACCCCTCCAAGTGAATTTTTTTAAATTTATTTTTTATTTATTGTTTGTCTCCCCTCGGGTAGGCACAAGTTAGGAGTTAAGGCAGAGGCGGGTTGCTGGCAGTGCCCTGGGTTTGAGCTGAAACAGTGCTGGGGTGGATCAGGGTGCCAGAAGGACCCTGACAATAAAGAGGTCTCCAGATCTGGGGAGACTGAGCGATGATAAAGGGGCTTCACTTTTTTTGTAAAGGGAAAAAATAGGAGAGAGGGAGCTGAGGTTCTCATTTAAGAAAGAAAGAAAACAAAACTCCAGCCTGTACCAGCGCAGTGCTTGGGGGAATGACACCGATTCTCTTCAGTGCACTTCGGTGGGAAATTGTAAATTACTCTAAAAAGAGATAGTCACCTCCCTGACATAGTGAGGCCCCTGACTGGAGACACAAACAGGGAGAACAGACAAACGCACACATGCTACTTAACACAGATTTTTTCCCCCCCTGACTGCTCCAACTATGGGAAAATATTTCTAGAAGTGTTTTGCCCCCAGCTCACTCATCTAGACAGCTGGTATTTTACTTGGGTAGGCTTCCTAAGCCAGGAAACTTCACCACATTTTTGGTAGCAGTCTCCTTGAAAAAAAAAAGAAGAAAATATGAAGCAGTGTAAGGAGCTTGAGGACCAGCATTTCTCATTTTAGGTTACAGCTTATAGGGAGGATTTTTACTATTATTTTCAACTGTGGTTAAAAGTGTCAGAGATTCCCAGCTGAGCGACTGTAAGTGTGCGTGTGTGTTGTGCTGCGTGCGGGGTGGAGGGCAGTTTTTGTCCCTGGTCTGGGAGGTTTGGATGCGGTTTGAGGATTTGGAGTATTGTAGGTATTTTATACATATAGAAACAGAGAACATAGCATGCATGCCCCAGCCCCGTTGTGCAGGATCAGTTAAGGGCTGCGGAGTGGGCTGCTGTGTGTATGTGGTGCGTGCTTTAAAAAAAAAATACTTGTTGATTAGAGCTCTTCTTCACAGCCCCCCCCCCT